CAACTGCTGGCCTCCTGGCTTGTCACCTATGTCATGAGAAGTTCCTTGATCTAGAGCACCTTGGTGGTCACCTGTACAACGTACATAAGGTGTCTGTGACTTACCGGTATGTAGCTAATAACTCTTACTTATTTATCTGCAGCAAACAAACCCTCACCTTTTGTATAATTGTTGATTCCACGCTTGTAGCATCTATCTTGCGTAGTCTTCACACCGCTTGTAGCATCTATCTTGCGTAGTCTTCACACCGCTTGTAGCATCTATCTTGCGTAGTCTTCACACCGCTTGTAGCATCTATCTTGCGTAGTCTTCACACCGCTTGTAGCATCTATCTTGCGTAGTCTTCACACCGCTTGTAGCATCTATCTTGCGTAGTCTTCACACCGCTTGTAGCATCTATCTTGCGTAGTCTTCACACCGCTTGTAGCATCTATCTTGCGTAGTCTTCACACCGCTTGTAGCATCTATCTTGCGTAGTCTTCACACCGCTTGTAGCATCTATCTTGCGTAGTCTTCACACCGCTTGTAGCATCTATCTTGCGTAGTCTTCTTCCACGATGATTGTAACATCTATTTTGTATATATTTCTTCCAATCTGTAGCATCTGTCTTCAGTAGTCGTCTTCCACTCCGCTTGTAGCATCTTTCTTACATAGTCTTCTACTCTGCTTGTAGTATCTAATGTAGTTATCCTCCATGCTGCTTGTAGCATTTATCCCAGTCTTCTTCCATCCAGCTTGTAGCAGACGCTTAAAGAGCGATTGTATCACTTCATGCAGGTTGGCATTCAATCCTTGACCAACCAGGTTATACATTGGTTGTACAATGGTTGTACAACCATTGTACAACCAAGAGTACAATGGTTGTACTCTTCAAATCACTTGTGTTGTCCCGTCTTGAGTATTGCTCAATACTCACTTCCCCCTTCAGAGCAGGAGAAATTGCTGAAATAGAGGGAATACAGAGAGCATATATGGCACGCATAGAATAGATAAAGCACCTAAATTATTGGGATCATCTCAAAGCCCTCCAAATGTACTCCCTAGAGAGGAGACGAGAGAGATACCAAATAATATACACATGGAAAATACTGGAGGGCCAGGTCCCAAATCTACACAGTAAAATAACAATGTACTGGAGTGAATGATATGGAAGAAAATGCAGAATGGAACCAGTGAAGAGCAGAGGTACCATAGGCACAATCAGAGAACACTGTATAAACATCAGAGGTCCGCGGTTGTTTAACACCCTCCCAGCTAGCGTAAGAAATATTGCTGGAACAACAATGGACATATTCAAGAGGAAACTAGATTGTTTCCTCCAAGGAGTGCCGGACCAACCGGGCTGTGGTGGGTATGTGGGCCTGCGGGCCGCTCCAGGCAACAGCCTAGTGGACTAAACTCTCACAAGTCAACCTGGCATTGGGCCGGGCTTGGGGAGTAGAAGAACTCCCAGAACCCCATCAACCATGTATCAACCAGGTATCCAAGTGGTTAGGTACTATTCCATCCCCCCCCATCCCATCCCAAATTCTTTCCTGATCCCTTCAAAGTGTTATAGTTGTAATGATTTGGCACTATCTCCTGATGGTTACCTTTCCTTCTTCCACCCTGCTTGTAACATCTACCTTCCATATTCTTCCTCCACACCTCTTTTACACAAATATTTTTTAATTTTTTTAATGTTGTTCTGCTTCCCGAGCATATCATATTACTGTATATATTTTATGTATCTGTGTTTCTTGGTATGTAGCCACAGCATGGTCTCTCCATTCTCCACCTTTTTGTGCATCAGGTCATTTTTTTTGGCGTATGTTCATCTGTTTCTCTTGTCTCTTTATGTGCCGAGTAATTAACCCTTACAGTACTCCAATCTTGTTAAACCTTATACTGCTCCAATCTTGTTAATTTAAACTTTACACTACTCGAATTGCCTCATACGATTTTTCCCATTTGATTTGTTAACTATTGTATTTTTAGTCATGCACACACTGATGTAGCTTTTAAACAGCTGTACAGTTTAGGGGTTAATTGTCTACTTGGTAACATTTGTTTCATATAAAATATTTGTTCATTTGCTAATATTTAGACATTAAATACTGTACATTAGAAGTATTATGCTAGCAATGATCTGTGTGTGCCTGCAGCATTTAACCACTGGACTGCGCTCGGGTTCTTGGTGAACTGGAGGAAGTCCCATCTGGTGCCCTCTCAGGTTCGGTATTGGCTGGGTCTGGTTTGGGACGCTCGCACCGCTTCCTTGTCTCTGCCTCCGGGGGCTCTGCTTCTCCTGTGGTCCTGCCTTCGCCTGTTTCTGAGGGTTTCCGGGGTCACGCGGCGGTTGCTCGAGAGTTTGTGCGGGAGCCTGAACTTTGCCATGATGGTCTACCCGCTGGGTCGGGTGTGGCTTCGTCGGCTATTCTGGTTCCTTTGGGGACGGCCCTTCCGCCTCTCTCGTGATCGGTGGGTTCGGCCTCTGGGGGCTTTGCGTTGGTTGCTGCATCGCCGGCTTCCTCTTCGGGCTTTTCGAGGTTCAGTGCCTTGGCGCCTGTCCGAGCTCTCGCTCAGTGTGTACACGGACGCGTCGTCTCTTGGCTGGGGTTTTGTGATCAGTGCTCACCAGGCTGGCCGTGGGTGGTGGGGTCCATCCTTCTGTCGGGCTCACAGCACGGTCCGGGAGTTCGCGGTGGTGTGGATGTCGCTCCGGAGGGTTCGAGTCGCTCGCGGATCAATGATCAGGCTCGATTAGGACTGCTCCCCGGTGGTTCATTGCCTGAACTGAGGGGGTTCGATGCGGTCCTTGGCTCTTTGGGGCTTGTCGCTTCGAGAGACTCATCTGCTGAGTTCTCGGGGGTTTGGCTCTCTGGCAGTTCATGTCTGGGGGTGTCCAACATCCTGGCAGATGATCTGTCTCATTTCCTTCCCCTTTCCATGGAATGGACGGTCGACGCCGACTCCTTCAGTTGGCTGTGCCAGACATTCGGGACTCCGGACGTGGATCTCTTCGTGTCGGCGTGGTCGAGGCGTCTCCCGATATACGTGGCGCCCTTTCCCGACTGCGAGGCCGTTGAGGTCGACGCCTTCAGGCAGGACTGGGCAAGGTGGGGTTACCTTTACCTCTTTCTCCCAGTTCAGCTGTTGCTCCAGGTCCTGGCTCGCTTGGAGACTTACCTGGGAAGAGTTGTCCTTCTGGCTCCGTGGTGGCCGGCCCATCCTTGGTTTCAAGGGCTGCTTGCTCGGTATCTGAACCCGAGGGTCTTCCCGCGGCTCCGCCTCTTTCAGTGAATCGGTCCAGCCCGGTACGAGGCTGGTTCAGTCTTCTCCTCGAGTCTTTGCATTTGGAGTTTTTGACTCGGGTTTATCATCACTTGTATGGTGCGCAGGTGGCGTCGTTATTGGTCTCCCACCTGCGTGCTTATCTCGGCGGCAATATGAAGTTTGCTGGGGGTCCTTCCGGTTCTTCCTATCAATGCGTAGGTGTTCTTCGGTCTGATAGGGTTGTTCTGTCCTTTCTCTCCTGGTTGTTCCAGGACAGTCATCTTATGCCCAATACTGTCACCTCGTATCATGCGGCGCTGGTGGAGCCGTTTAAGCTTGCTTTCAGTGTTGATATTACTTCTGCCCCGTTCCGCAAGCTGTCTCAGGTGATGTTTCAACTCCAGCCTGCTCATGCGCCTCCTGAGCCGTCCTGGTCCTTGGACCGGGTGCTCTCGTTTCTCTCTTCTCCTCGATTTGTTGTGGGACCCCTTCCGTTTGGGATTGTTTTTCTAAAGCTCTTTTCCTGTTGGCTTTGGCTTCTGGGGGTCGGGTAGGGGAGCTTCATGCTCTCCTCCGGCACAGGGGTTTCTGCTCCTTCAGTCCTTGTGGGCGTTTTGTTCGGTTGCAGCCATTTCCTCCTTTTCTGGCGTAGAATGAAACGGCTGCATTTCGGAGGGGCCTTGGGTTGTTGATACTTGGTTGGTCAGGCCGGGGGTGCATCATGTGTTGTGTCCAGTTGTGGCTCTCCGCCGTTATTTGCGTGCCATGGCTTTGGCGCCCGGGGATGCGTTTTGGGTTGACCCGGTTTCCCTTCTTCCCTGTTTCTGGGCTCGGGTCTCTCAGGTTGTTCGCAGGGTTATTAAGTCTAGCCAGCCTGCAGTTTACCCCTGTGCCCACGACGTTGGTAAGTTTGCAGCTTTCGCTGCCGTCTTTGGCAACATGTCTTGGGTTGACATTCGAGTGCGGGGTTTTTGGTGGTCAAACAGGGTCCTGGCTGCTCACTACCTGGTAAATGTTCCAGGGTCAGGTAGGGCCTGCATTGCCTTGGGTCGGCGGTTGCAGTCAGTTGTCTCGACTTCGCGTTGAGGAGCGAGGACGAACCGCCTCCCGGGTAAGTCCCTGTTTTTTCCTTATCTTTAAGTAGTTAGCTCTGGGGAGCCGACGGGGCTCCCCCCAGAAAACCAGCGTTGAATGTAATGAAATGCCATTTTCTGGGTGAGTCCCGGAGGCTCCCTGGCATTCCTTCCTCCCTCCCTCCGGTCGGCGGTGTTTTTTTCATGCTTTTTGACATCCAATCTAAGAACTGTAGGTTGAGTCGCCGGCGGATGGGTCTGGGGCTCCCCCTTCCCCCTCCTGGGTAGGGGGGGTTGGTTCAACCCTGTTTTTTTGTGGAAATTGGTTCAGCTGCACCAGTTGGTTTTGCACCATATGGTCCATGGTAAATCCAGCAATAGAAGTTTTCTGTGGTGTCCCCTTTCCCTTGATGCCCTAAGCAAAATAAGCATGTACTTATTTTGCTTATTGGTTAATCCGGCTCTGTCTCCAGAGGAACATGACATCAGACACACAGTAGATGATATTGCTATTGCCTTTAGAGTTGTTCTTTTCACTTGTTTTAATTATCTAATCTATAAATGATAATTGTATCTCATTTTAAATAAACTGTAGCTTATGGTGCACCATAATTTGTGTATACTGGTATTTATTATATTATTACCAACTGATTTATAACTGGATATTTCAGCAACAGCTAACCCAGCCAGTATTGCAGCCATACACATGCGGACTGTGTGAGGCCACATTTCCAAGCCCTAGTCAGCTGATGACCCACAGCCAACACCACCTGCCACCCGCAGGCATGATGGGTCTCAAGTCCTCGTGACCTGCCCGTCTCGACTCTAGCTTACAACTCTACAAGAAGCATCTCTCAAGAATATTGAAGAAAATGAGATGATCAAGAGTGATGAAACAGTAGTACATTTATCAGCCCTGAAGCCTGAAGACTTCACATCCATATTTGTGTCACTAGGTGCTACTCTTCGTCTAATACCTGTAATACTAGAAGCAATGTTGAAATTTCACAAATGACAAGTCCATGACTCTTAAACACCAAAGTTAAAACTTTATGGGCCTCCAAAGCCAATATGATCTACTACACCACTTATGTAAAAGTAGGTAAAATTGGGGATTATATGTTGAAATCCATTAAATCATTTCAAGAGAAAGATATGTGATAATATTTATGAATATTATACGTTATTAATGTATTCATTGTTTTAATGTCTTGAACATGAGTGAGGAACTGGTAAACATCAGCATTGTCCTAATACTTGTGAAAATATAAGGTTGCACATAATCACCAGTTTTGAGCATAAACTGGGTGTTGGAGGCCTCATGAAACCTGTACACTCGTGTATATAACTAATCGGTTTGGTGATAACATATATTGCCTTGGGTTTTAAAAAGCAGATTTGAAATCCAGTGCTTCAAAATACACACCTATAACAGAACTACTATCATTTTGAAATGACTGAAAATTATGTAATATGGTTTGTTATGTAACGGACAGAATGTTTTGAAGTATAAAATAGCTCAAAAGTCCAGTTACAAATGGACTACATGACAGATGAAGCAGTTATGGTTTATGTTTACAGTATGTACAGTCTGTGAAAGTTGTTAGTTTTATCTGGTTATATCCGACTAGATGTGCATGTTCGTTTAAAAGCCTACGGCAGTTTAACAAAAACTTGAAGCTAGGCATGTGATATTGTTTCTTATGGCTAGATAGCCATGGACTGAATGCTCTGTGAAGGAGATTTCAGAACTGATATTAAAGTCACTTCGTAATGAGAGGTGGTGGACAGATGTAAATCTGGCAAGTTCGGCAATGCTCAAGTGTGTGACACATTTCTCAAGAGTATAGCCATGCTTCTATGGCTCTATATATGGTGTTGTGGGTTTTAATTGTACTTCCAGTCCTTAGAGCTCATGCAGCTACTAATTTGTGAGGGGTTGAAAATATTGAATGTATTTTTATTGTACATGTTTGTATTGAAGGATTTGTATAGACACTGTGCCAATATCAGTCACCTTTTTTTATTTGAAGGGGGATGGAAATGTTTTTTATTTTATAGTTTATAGACAGTCGCCTGCCTTGCTATTATAGCATGGGCAATTGTTAACTGTAGATAGCTATAACATTAACTCCCATCACATTTCTGTTGGTAAGCAACTGTAACTGCCAATAGACTTGCCGAGTTCTTATGTCTCCATGTGGGTCTGTATTTCTAGCAGTGTAGCGAGAAATACATATATGTTTCTATCATTGTACTGGGAAATGCTTATGGGTTTCTATCATTGTACATGGAAACACATACCCTTTGGGCATCATTGGTTAAAAGCTACCGACATTACATACTAAACAGTAAGTAAAGTCAGTCGCTTTCAACCAACAATGCTCACTGGGTATAGGTTTTAATAACTGTACTGAGAAGCACATATAGGTTTCAATCACTATACTAGGAAATACATATGAGTTTCTATCATTGTACAGGGAAATGCATATGGATTTCTATCATTGTACAGGCAAATGCATATGGATTTCTATCTTTGTACTGAGAAATGCATATGGATTTCTTATATGTGGTAAGATTATAATATTTTTTATTTATGCTGATGTGTGACATCAACTTGTGTCCAAAAGTCACAGTTATTGTATAATTTTGGTAACGCATAGAAGTACAGATGAAGAATTGTGACTATCTTACAACAGCTCGTCCTCTTACAAATTACGTCGCTTTTCGCTTGTATGCATTACGGTCAAAAATCGCGCTATTAGAATTTAAAAAAAAAATATTAATTTTCCAAATGAAATGAACCCAAAGCAGCAAGTTTTGGGCCCCTCTGGTAGGTTAGGAGAGCAGCAAGTTTTCCTAAGGTTTCAAAATGTCATGAAAACTTAATTTAAAGTGTCCTTTCCTAACCTAACATACTAAGCCAGAGAACCCAAAACAGAAAACGGGACAGTGCGTCACTTTTGTTAGTCGCTTTCATTTTCTAGTAAGGCGATTTTTAGCCTTAGTGCGCATACAAGCGAAAAGTGACGTAATTAGTAAGAGGGCGGGTTGCTTACACAGCCTGAAGTACAGACCGGAATTCATCAAGCATTTGTATGTCCACTTACAGAACTTTTATATCTTTCCTTCAATCATCATGGCTTAGGTTGTATTCATGAAACAATTTATGCACTTCAAAATGCTGCAAGGTTATTCATTCTTGACCCAATGTTATCATTGTTATAGACAACCTCGTAGTGCTTCCAAGCTCATAAACTGTTTAATAAATACAAACCTACCACCATGATTGACCTAAGGTGTTCAGGCTTCATTAGTGGATACGTAAATCTTTGACGAATTCTACTCCAGATAGTCACTTCCTAACATGACTTCATTGTAGTAGAGACTCCTAGCATTTTGTTTTCAGCAAAAAATGGCAAAAGTGACATTGAAAAGACTCAGTTATCACTTTGTCATTGTCCATGTTTACAAGGATCAGATGTGACACTATTGACAAAGAAGAATTGGAGCAGTGATTAAGAATTCAGCACAACTGAACTTGAGCACAAATCAACCAGTCGACAATCTTTTGTATTGCTATCTCAGGGGCATGTAGTGCTCATAATGACACTTGCAAGGGATCAATGAAATGCAGGAAAACTTAGAAGTGTAAGAATTTGTTGCAACTTTGTTGATAAAGATTAACCCTTACACTGCTCCAATCACTATCTCAATTAACCCTTACACTGCTCCAATCACTATCTACATTTAACCCTTACACTGCTCCAATCATTATCTACAATTAACACTTACACTGCTCCAATCATTATCTACAATTAACACTTACACTGCTCCAATCACTATCTACAATTAACCCTTACACTGCTCCAATCACTATCTACATTTAACCCTTACACTGCTCCAATCACTATTTACATTTAACCCTTACACTGCTCCAATCATTATCTACAATTAACACTTACACTGCTCCAATCATTATCTACAATTAACACTTACACTGCTCCAATCACTATCTACAATTAACTCTTACACTGCTACAGTCACTATCTTCAATTAACACTTGTACTGCTTCAATTGCTGTCTGCAATCTGTTTCTCACTGGATTTATAAATTATTTGTAGTCAACACGTCTCAATGTAGTTCTCTTAAAAATATGTACACTTCAGGGTTAAAAAGAATGTTTGGAAATTGACGAAATGTCACAAGTAGTGGTTGTGTTTTCGACCTCATTGTATAAGATCAACTGGCTCAGGATAGAGTACAGTACAGTACTTGCATATATTCTATTATCTTTCTAAGTTTTACCTGCATTTCTAAAGTCTACCATTGTAGATGTATGCACGTCTGCAGGTCTTGCTCTCGCTCTGAAAATATTAAAATAGTGTCTGAGTAATTTATATCTTTCTAAATCATAATTGACACTGGGTTTTTACAGCAATATTAATGGGGTTTATGTTATATTCTGTGGAATTAATTACAGGCTCAGAGCCTCATAGAACTAGTATTAAGCAAATTGTTGATGTTTGTAAATTAGTAAATACACAAATTATATACAGTAGTTACCTTTATTTATGGATAATGGGCTAGGATGTATTTTTTTTTTTTTTTTAGTAAAAATATTTAATATTTATTATTAACATATGGAAATATTAACTGGGTTTCAAATGCAGAACATGAACTCGTTTGATAATACTGTACATTGATGATATCCAATAATAGTACGTTTTCAAATTATGGATGTTTGAGATACTGTAGTGTGAAAATTGGAATGTCTGAAAAACTCTTCATTTGTTTTCTCATATCCTTTTTACAAACTTGTATTGGGGTATATGATTATCATATTCTATAATTTTGTTATATTTTTCAGTGTAGGCTTATTCAAAACCTTTATCTCCCCCCCCCCCCTTGGGAATGTAACATTGAATTGGATGTTAATTTAACATTACTCAAGCATGCTTTGGCTGCTAGATATTCTTTCTTCTTGGCTCCTGCTTGTGTGTTCTGGGACACATTTTAATAATAATAATAATAATAATAATAAATGAGGAAATTAGTTAGAGCAGTGCAGGGATATGAACCAACATTCTGGGGAATACCAGATGCGCACCTTTCACTCGTCCATGAAAGGACGAAAGCTATTCATCCTGGGACTCTACCGAACCCACTAAAAGTGAGTCTGGAGGCCCCTGCTGGTGCTACTACCAGGTTTTACGAAAAGGCCGCATGCAACCAAGTGCTGGTAATGGAGTTCTCCACCAACATTGGTGGTATACTCCATTACCTACACCGGAGTGCCGGCAGGTTATTCGTAAAACCTGGTTGTGGCACCAGCAGGGGCCTCCAGGCTCACTTTTAGTGGGCTCGGTAGTCTCTCGGGTCAAATATTTTTTGTGCTTTTGTGTCCTAGTGGGTTAAGGTGCGCAGCTGGTACTCACTAGGACGCTGGTTCAAATCCCCGCACTGCTCCAAGAGATTTCCTTATTGATATTTCACATCATTGTGATTTCTGTGTTGAATAATAATAATTGGCATTATCAGGGACAGGAAGCCTGTGTATATATAATTCAGGCCTCAATAGAGGTCCCTTCAAGGTCGAAATACTGATCCACCTCAGGATGTAACCCCACAACAATTGTCTAACTCCCAGGTACTTATGTACTGCTAGATGAACAGAGGCATTAGGTGAAAGGAAACATACTCGACTACTTCTGTCCTGCCTAGGAATCGAACCCAGGATACCCGATTATGAGCCAAGAATGAATCCAACTGTACTACAAGATGCCTGTGTTTGAACTTTTAATGTTTTGAATGTGTATTTCCTTAGATACAGACACCATGCCACCCCTGGATGTTCCAGTTAATGAACATATGTTACATATGTTTAATATGTTTAAACATACATATGTTTAATCATTTCTTACAAGTTCTTTAATAATTGATGGTATTTAAAGCCAAATCTAAAATTTTGCTTAAGTTGCTTACCTTTAAGCCATATTTCCAAAGATTTCTTTGAAAAACTAATTCTCATTGGGATTATTTCTTGTCTGATATTTCCATTGCATGGTTTTTGTCTATAATGAATTCCATCATAATCTCTTGGCTCAGTTCTTTATATTTGTTGATTGTATAGAAAGCACTATGCCCAGAAGGCTATTTAGAAACGTCTGTAAATTAAAGAATAGACGTCCACT